ATATACTAGTACAAATTAACCTTTTCTATACAACTGGATACCTGTTAATGTGGCAGAGGTCACCATCAATTCGCCTGTGTCTAAAGACGGCTGCAGTTGTTAACCTATTTCATTTAGCATAATCTGACACTGATCTGCAAAACACCTTTCTTCTTGTTGTCTATAAAGTAAATGTTTTCCCTGTGAATTCTATGACTGTAGTTAAATATTTACATGTGGAATGCCAGAAGACATATGTCTACCCCTAAGTGTTTTCCTCCCTCTTTTTTATCCTTCATTAACATTGTTCATTCAACCTTTTAACCAATGTCCCCAACCTAGTTAGAGTTTTTTTTTCCAAGTCAGAAGCGACCTGAAAAACTGCAATTTGCTTCTGGTGCGAGAGAATTGGCCATCTACAGGGACGTTGACCAGGGAAAACCTGGGTGTTTTATCATCCTGTGGATGGTTTCTCTCATGCCCCCGCATAAGAAGCTGGAGCTAACAGACGGGAGCTCACCCCGCCCCCCAAATTTGGACCGCCAACCTTTCAGTCAGCAGTCCAGCCAGCACAAGGGTTTAACCCATTGCACCACCAGGGCTTCACCTAGTTTTGTTTTGTTTCTTTTTCGTATCAGAAGTGACTTGAGAAACTGCAAATTGCTTCTGGTGTGAGAGAATTGGCCGTCTGCAAGGACAATGCCCAGGGGATACCCGGATGTTTTGATGTTTTACCATCCTTGTAGGAGGCTTCTCTCATGTCCTCCATGAGAAGCTGGACCTGACAGACGGGAATTCACCCCACTTCCTGGATTCAGACCGCCGACCTTTCAGTCAGCAGCCCTGCCAGCACAAGGGTTTAACCTACTGTGCCACAGGGGCTCCACCTAGATAGGGGAAGCAAGATATTATCTGAGAAATGAAACCCCCAAGAAATATTTGAACAGCCAAAGTAACCTAAGAGTCAGTTATTAATAAAAAATCATGGCAGAGGGATATATCAATATCTATTAGCGACAATTATGACAGAAAATAATATAATTATCAGCAGTTGACGGTAAGCAAGACTGGATATCCACCACTTCTTATAAGAACTGGGAGATATTTATAAAGTTAAATGGGTTCTAGTCTCTAGCTGTGAATTTGTTTTTAAAGACCACATGTTTTAAATGCAAAATAATTGTCTCCAGGCTGTTGTAAGTTTTTTGGGCTGCATGGCCATGTTCTAGAAGCATTCTCTCCTGACATTTCACCTGCATCTGTGGCAGGCATTCTCAGAGGTTGTGATGTCTGTTGGAAACTAGGAAAATTGGGTTTATATATCTGTGGAAAGTCCAGGGTGGGAGGAAGAACTCTTGTCTGTTGGAGCTAGATGTGAATGTTTCTATTGGCTACCTCGATTAGCATTTGATGGCTTGACAGTTTTTAGGTGTGACTTGTTCCTCCCTGGGGGAATCCCTTGTTGAGAGGTGATTAGCTGTTCCTGTTTGTTTCTTGTCTGGAGTTCCCCTGTGTTTTAGTTTTGTTCTTTATTTACTGTTATAATTTTAGAGGTTTTTTTAATACTGGTAGCCAGATTTTGTTCATTTTCACTTTTTCTTCCTTTCTGTTGAAATTGTCCACATACATGTGGAATTCAAAGGCTTCTCTCCATTTTTAAAACTGCACTTTCTTAGTGCCAGAGATAATGGCTGCAATGGAGTCCAAACAACAGAGAAACAAGGCAAGTTACTACTTATATTTTTCTCCCATGTGTTTGTCCCAATTTTCATCCTGATCCGGCCACAGTCTGATCTTCACACAAGTGAGAAGCTCTTACATGTAATTCAAAATGTTTTGAACTGAGGCTGATTCTAATAGTAGTACATGATACAGTAATAATGGACAGTTAGGCCTGTCTTATGTATTTAATCATAAGTTCAGAAAATAGGAGGCCACAGAAATATCACTTAACACATAATGTTCTACTAGTGTTAGAAGAACATTGGGCTATATAGAAAAAGTGAAAGCACTCTATCATAGGCCTATCACGATTCAAATGTGGCTCCTACCTTCTGTCTTCAGTGTCCATGTCTGCCCACTATTGCTGCTGTTTCCTACTCCAGTCCAGAAGAGGGAGCAGAGTTTGGGACCAGAGTTGGTGCTTTAGTCTTGCAAACTCAAGATAAGGCAGCAGCACTTTTCAACCATTTGGCCCATCTTCTCAAGGAGTGCAGCTACCCTTTAGAATTAATGTGGTTTGATACCACCTTAACCACCATGACTCAATGCTGTGGAATCCCAAGTTAGGCCTCTTCTACACTGCCAAATAAAATCCACATTATCTGCTTTGAATTGGATTATATGGCAGTGTAAATTCATATAATAGAGTTCAAAGCAGATAATGTGGGTTATCTGATTTGATAATCTGGATTATATGGCAGTGTGGAAGGGGCCTTATAAGGCATCAGCACTCTTTGGCAGAGAAGACTTGTTAAAACTACAACTGAGCCATGGCAGTTAAGTAGTGTCAAACTGCATTAACTCCGCAATGTAGATGCAACCAAAAATGGGCCTGCATTTCGAAATATGTTATATAATATGAATATAATATTAGTATACAAACAATGCATTCAGAGACAAAGAATGGCTATTAAATAAGCCTCTTCTCACCTTTGAAGCCATTCAATGGATATTAACATTTGGGACTGGTCTAGGAGTCTAACATGCACTAGTGTATTTGTCACCAGGGGAAAATGTGGCCTTCCAGATATTGGTGGACTGTAACTTCCATTTTCCCTAGGTGAAACAACCAAGGGATGGATCTTTGCAGAGACAGATCAGCAATATTTGGAAGGCCCCATATACTCAATATCTGCCTTAAGGAAAATAGGGATATTATACTGTATTTGGAACACACTTCTGTTTTAACATTAGACAATAATAGCTTCTTTAGGCTAAAACAGGGTTCCTCAAACTTTTTAAACAGAGAGCCAGGTCATAGTCCCTCAAACTATTGGAGGGCCAGATTATAATTTGAAGGGAAAAAAAAATAAATGAATTCTTATGCACACTGCACATATCTTATTTATAGTGCAAAAAACCACTTAAAAACAATACAATAATTAAAATGAAGGACAATTTTAACAAATATAAACTTTCAATGGGAAGCACAGGCCTGCTTCTGGCTGATGAAACAGGATTGTTGTTGTTGTGAGTTGTGAGCTTTCAAGTCATTTCACACTTAGGCTGACCCTGAGCAAGGACTGGGTAAATGTCTTTGGAGGGCCGTATCCGGCCCCCAGGCCTTAGTTTGAGGACCCCTGGTCTAAAACCTTACATATTCTTGAAGCTTCCTTTTTTAAGCAACTTGCTTTATTAATGTTTGCCCTATAGCAAATCCAGATTTAGAGATTTATTAACAAGTAGAACACAGTCTTTTTTTTAAAAAAAATGAACAAAATGTAATAGAATGGATGCTTGAATGGTTAACCATGATTTAGCAATACACATAAATACAAAAATACAGCTCTTGCAATTTGGTTATTTTTTTATCCTGGTGGCAGGTGCCAATGATTCCTGAACATCTCTCTCTCTTCCCTCCCCCTCCCCCTCTATCCCTCTCTCTATCTCTCTCATTGCTCTTCTCTCTCTCTCTCAAAAAGAAACACCCAGTCACTATCTCACCAAAGAAAAGTATCCCAAAACAGCTAATGGAGTATATACAACAGAATTAAGCAGTAAAATCCAGAGATTGTATTGTGGAATGTATCACTTCAGTTGTCTACTCAAGAAAACATTAAATAGTCTACAATGAAACCTTCCCCCCCAAAAACCACCCTCAAACAAAAACAACTCCACAATCAGAAAAGTAACAGACTCAATTCCAACAACAATAATAAAAGGTACAATAACCTTCAAAGAACACATTGCATTTTACTGCCTTGGGTTTTGACTTATCTCTTTCCTGGCCAAGGACATACGTATGTAACCAAAGATACTCCTGGAATCAAAGTCTGTGTGGACCGCTATAATTAAGTGGTTATATGCATATCTGCAGGAAAATCTCTTTGATCAGTAAATACTCTATCAGCGTATGAAATGTCTTCTACTTATCAAGAATTCAACAAGCTAAACTTCTCCTGAAAGGAAATCATTCTAAAAGCAAAGTTTAATGGGTTGCTGTAGGTTTTCCGGGCTATATGGCCATGTTCTAGAGGCATTTTCTCCTGACGTTTCGCCTGCATCTATGGCAAGCATCCTCAGAGGTAGTGAGGTCTGTTGGAAGTAGGAAAATGGGTTTATATATCTGTGGAATGACCAGGGTGGTACAAAGGACTTTTGTCTGCTGGAGCTAGGTGTGAATGTTTCAACTGACCACCTTGATTAGCATTTAATGGCTTGGAAGTGCCTGGGGGGAATCTTTTGTTGAGAGGTGATTTGATGTGTCTGATTGTTTACTCTCTGTTGTTTTGCTGTTGTAATTTTTGAGTTTTTTAATACTGGTAGCCAGATTTTGTTCATTTTCATGGTTTCTTCCTTTCTGTTGAAATTGTCCACATGCTTGTGGATTTCAATGGCTTCTCTGTGTAGTCTGACATGGTGGTTGTGAGAGTGGTCCAGCATTTCTGTGTTCTCGAATAATATGCTGTGTCCAGGTTGGTTCATCAGGTGCTCTGCTATGGCTGATTTCTCTGGCTGAAGTAGTCTGCAGTGCCTTTCATGTTCCTTGATGCGTGTCTGGGCGCTGCGTTTGGTGGTCCCTATGTAGACTTGTCCACAGCTGCATGGTATACGGTAGACTCCTGCAGAGGTGAGAGGATTCCTCTTGTCCTTTGCTGAACGTAGCATTTGTTGGATTTTCTTGGTGGGTTTGTAGATTGTTTGTATGTTGTGTTTCCTCATCAGCTTCCCTATGCGGTCAGTGGTTCCCTTGATGTATGGCAAGAACACTTTTCCTCTGGGTGGATCTTCATCTTTACTCTCGTGGCTTGTTCTTGGTCTTGCAGCTCTTCTGATGTGACGTGGAGTATCCATTGGCCTGTAGAGCCCAGTTTAGGTGGTTCAGTTCATCTTGGAGGAGGTGGGGTTCGCAGATTCTTTTTGCACGGTCTGCCAAGGCTTTAATAGTGCTTCTTTTTTGACTTGGGTGATGGTTGGAGTTTTTATGTAGATATCTATCTGTATGTGTGGGTTTTCTGTAAACGGTGTGACCCAATTGTTGATCTGGTTTGCGGATGACTAGGACATCTAGAAAAGGCAGTCTTCCTTCATTTTCTTTTTTCATGGTGAATTGGATGTTTGGGTGGATGCTGTTAAGATGTTCCAGGAACCTGTTGAGTTCTTCTCCTCCATGGCTCCAAATGGTGAAAGTGTCATCCACATATCTGAACCATATAGTGGGCTTTTTGGTTGCTGTTTCCAGGGCTTGTTTTTCAAAGTGTTCCATGTAGAAATTAGCTATGACCGGGCTGAGAGGGCTCCCCATAGCTACTCCATCTTTCTGTTCGTAGAATTCATTGTCCCACTGAAAGTAGCTGGTGGCGAGGCAATGGTGAAACAGAGCTGTGATGTCTTCTGGGAACCTCTGATTGATGAGTGCCATGGGACTGCTACCGGGACCATGGTAAATAGAGACACCACATCAAAGCTGATCAGTTTGTCGTTGGTATTTAGCTTGAGATTGCTGATTTTTTCTATGGTGGGCTGAGTCCTTGATGTAGTGTGTAGTGAGCCCAATATGGCTTTGTAACTGTGCAACAAGAAATTTTGCTAAGTCATACGTGGGGGTCCAATGGCACTCATGATGGGTCTGAGTGGGGTGGAGTCCTTATGGATTTTTGGGAGTCCATAAATTTAATTTTCTTTCATAGCCAGTGCCACCTCTTCCCCTTCTTCCTTTATGTATTGTTGATGATTAACACATAATGAAATAAAGATACTTCTGTGTTTTTATTCACAAGAAAAGCATCAGAGTTGATCATAGGTTCACATTCTTGTTGTATTCCCAAATAAGCTTAGGGCATGGGAATCCCAGAATGGTATAGCATAGAGTGGATGCAGGGGTGGATTTCCCAGCCACTTTCCTTTCACCAGTGGGAATCTCTGTTGGAATGAAATCCTTGCTTTAAACCAAGGTAACTAGTCTATTTTCAGGAAAAATAACAAGTGAGGCAATCATATGCATAATTACCATATTCACCTGAATCTAATGCTCATCTTTTTTGGCTGAATTACATAGCCAAAAGTGAGATGTGTGCTAGATTCGATGGTGCATTGCACTCAGGTAAATACAGTATATCTGTACTGAACCAAGTGGGACCTATGGCTAGGTAAATACAGATAGGATTGCTCTGTTAGGTTCAAGCCTTTCCATCTAAAAGATAACAGGCAAGAGATCCTGTTGAAAGTCCAAAAAAAGTCCGAATGTCACAGTAAGACTTATTCTGTGTTCATCATGGTTTGTTACTTATACTATAAATTGCACATCAGATAACCAAACAAACTGTGGCTTTTTGTCCTGCTTAGTTTCTCATTCACCTCTTTCATCAGCCCCTGTTTCAGAGTTTGCAGCTAAAGCAGCAAATCAGAAACAAGTTACAGTTGCATGTTTGAGCTTGCAACAAGCCATGGTTTAAACAAGCCACAGTTTGTAAATCAATAACAAACCATAGATTTGATCACACAGTAATGCATGCACATATACTCTCAGACACTTCATAATCATATTTCAAAGTCTGAATCTGGCACAGTCTGATTTAGGCTGTGTCATAGAACTAAAACAGCCTTGGTCACCTTAGTGGATGATCTGCATAGGGTACTTGACAGAGGGAGTGTGTCCCTGTTGGTTCTCCTAGACCTCTCAGCGGCCTTCAATATCATAGACCACGGTATCCTTCTGGGACACCTTGCGGGAATGGAGCTTGGAGGCACTTATTTGCAGTGGCTCCAGTCCTTCCTGGAGGGCTGCTCCCAAAAGGTGTTGTTGGGGGACGCCTGCTCGGCCCCACAGCCTTTCTCCTGTGGGATCCCACAGGGTTCAATATTGTCTCCCATGCTGTTTAACATCTACATGAAGTTGCTTGGGAGAGATCATCCAGAGTTTTGGATTTCCATGTCATCTGTACACAGACGACATCCAACTCTATCACTCCATTCCAACTACTGCTAAAAAGGCTGTCCAGGTCCTGAACCAGTGTTTGGCAGCTGTGACAGTCTGGATGAGGGCAAACAAAAATGTAATTTAATCCAGACAAGACATAGGTACTCCTGGTTAGTCAAAAGGTCGAGAACGCGTTAGGGTTACAATCTGTGCTGGATGAGGTTACACTCCCTCTGAAGACACAGGTTCGCAGCTTGGGAGTGCTTCTGGATTCATCACTGAGCCTTGAACCCCAGGTTTCGAAAGAAGCCAAGGGAGCTTTTGCACAATTAAAACTTGTGCGCCAGTTGCACCCGTACCAGTCAGACTTGGCCACACTCTTGTTACCTCCCATATAGACTAAAACAATGTGTTCTGTGTGGGGTTGCCTTTGAAGACTGTTCAGAAGCTTCAAGTGCTCACCGGAGCAGTGTACAGGGAGTATACAATTCAAAGTGCTGGCTTTAGCCTACAAAGTCCCAAACGGTTCCAGCTCAGCTTACCTGTCCTAACGCAAATCGCCCAATCAAACCATTTTGAAGGTTAAGATCTTCCAGGGAGGCCCTGTTCTCGGTCCTGCTTCCTTTGCATGTGCAGTTGGTGGGGATGAGAGACAGGGCCTTCTCAGTGGTGACCCCTTGGTTCTGGAAGTCCCCAGGGAAATCAGATCAGTATCCTCCCTCATGGCTTTCAGAAAGAAAGTGAAGACATGGCTTTGGGACCAGGCCTTTGGTCAGAAAATGAATGCAGTGCTAGAAATGGATATGTAATTAATGCAATTTGACAATTGGAATGGCTCTAAATTATGATTTTGGACTGTGTGGTTTTTAAGTGTTGCTGCTAAGATGTTTTAATTTCTTGTTTTTAATGTAATTATTTATTTTAATTAACTCTTTATTTTATAAGGCATCAAATTCCTGCCAACCTGTAAGGCCGTTTTGAGTTCTCTCTGGGGTGAGAAGAACAGGGTATAAATATGGTAAATAATAAATTAATTGAAAGCTTTAAACATACAGATAAAACAAAAACCTCTGGAAGTAACAAAAGAGTTTTAAAATACCACTAACAAAACTCACAAAAAATTACTGTAACTGCATCACAACATTTTAAATATGAGTATCAAAATATTAACTGATGATGAGTTTAAATATTTTCTAAGTATAGTTCATATTTATATTTTATGAAAACATTAACAGAACAGTAGTGTATGTGTGTATACATACACACATACAGACATCATAAGCAGGAAAAAACTAAAACTAGTTCATGCCTTTCATTTCCTCCAGCCAAATGACCCTACTTAGTTGGTTAATTCAGAGAAAATAAATCACAATGCAATATCACAAAAGAAGATGAAAGGAAAGAATAGTCACATTTAGAAAATAGAAGAAGTTATTCAGGTTAGGTACTGGTGTAATGTGACAATGCATTGAACCAAGCATCCCATCTGATCTTCTATGATTTTATAAGCTTTGACTGAAACCATTTAAATGTAAACCTTTACTCAGCGATTACTCAAGTACCAAAATTCCTTGCTCACTTGTAACCTTTCAAGCTACTCATTGACTATTCACCCTCTGATATACATCAGCATAGCCTTCAGCAATGTGATAATTTCCAGAAGGTCAGCAGGTCTTGCTCAATGCACGTATACCAGTCACATGAGAAGTGATCTCCCCTTCAAAAATACCACAACATTTGCTTTACTTGCAGCTTCAATGAGAGGAGTCCAGAACTCAGCAAGCCAATAATAAAATCCCCATGGAGATTGTTCATCCAGGTGTGAGATATATTACGAAAGCAATATAGAAATGACACAGATTGCCTACTTTGGATGGAAGTGTGCACTCCAGTTTTATCTATATTTATTTTGTTGACATTACAAAGTAAGAAGCAACATTTGCACCACAGAAAACCCAGGCGGACGGTATCCCCTCTCATCACACCTCCTGCAAAACACTTATTATGGGAATTTTGTACTTTCTGCCAACAGATATTCAAGATAAATGTTATATTTTAAATTCAGAAGGAGATTATCTTATGCATCCCTCCCTGCATTGCATGGGGGGAAATTGCAGGTCTTTCTTTGACCACATGGTTGTTCTTTGAACTTGCTGATAAAAACCAAACCAGACCGTTAACTGAGGAGTGGGATTTGCTATGGTGAGCATTTAAGTGGCCCTTTGATTTTTCTGTTACAGCAACTATAAATATTCATACAGTACAATTTCAGTAGCTAATTTTAGATTCAGGGTCTCTTCCAAGAGCCGGGTGTCAACAAATTCTTGAAGACAAATGCCAGAAGAGCAGCCATGGAAATCTGGAGCAGTGAAAATATTAGTATTCTAGCACTTCAAAGACTAGCCAGCTGTAATGTAGCATCAAGCAGGTGCTAAAAATGGTCTGTGATTTTTTTAAAAAGATTTTTTTAACATCTGGTTTTTTTATCCCATGGATGCAATCCAGAAGAAGTCCCTTTTGATCTTGTTTAATTATTTGATTCAAGCATTTCAGTACATACTTATACATAACCCAATAATTTTAAGAGTACAAAAACTTCTGTGTAGAAATACATGTGTTGGTTTAAACTCATATCTCCATGCATTTTATGTATTTTCAGCTTCTATCCCGCACATATAGTGGTTTGAGCCTTGAACTGTGACTCTCTCAGCTTCAGAGGAAGGCAAAAGCAAACTCTTCTGAATACATTTTTCCAAGAAAATCCCACAATAAACTCTTTGGGTTGCCATCAGTCAGAAACAACTTCAGGGAATACAATAGGAATTCCTGACCTGTAGTCGTTTTTAAGGTGCCAAAAATTGGGGAGAGGATATTATTCTACTCAAAAACACAAAGTCCAGACATCTCCCTAAGTCAAGTCTGGGTGTCAGGCCACTGAATGGAAGCATAAATAATAGCCATGTTTATTACTTATCAGCCAATTGTCTATCTGAAAAACATATTTCCTTGTACTCAAAGACATCTGGGCTTTCTTAGCACCATAAGCTGACTGTCTTGCACAAACTTTGAGGGGGCAATGGTTAATTTCTTTATGTGCAAATTTTAAAGACAAGCTACTACATGAATTATAAGGCTGCAGGAAAACTCTTCCTGCACCCACTTCTGATTCATATAGAAACATGCTTTAAAATGGGGGTATGAATTAAAAGTTATTGAATGGGCCCTGGATGTTCCACATAAACTTTAGGCAAACTTAAGTGGTGCAAAATGAACATTTGGTGGAGTTACTGACATGGATATGAATGTAAGAGAAAAACAATACAAGATACAAACACATAGACAACATACTAAAGAGAAAAGAATTCAGGACTAGCAAGGACCTTGCTAGTGATAATCAGAACATAATGCCACCTAAGCAGACACCTGACAGATGAGATTACAAACCCAAGAGCCTCCTGACCATGACTCAAAAGAACATTGGATTATACCAAACACTGTCTTGTGGGATCCAAAGAAATTTAGATAACAGTAATTGCAAGGACTGTTGAAAGGGACACTCAGCCTTAGATGATTTACGGAAAAGGAGCCATTGAAATAAATAAAACATAAGTACCTTCCACAACCAGATACTCAACATACCAAATAAAGAAGAGCTAAAACTATTTAAATCCTTTAAACACAAAACAAACAAAGCTAAATTAAAGGGGGCATTCACATGCTATCTGTTATGAATGGCATGCATGTCTGGGTATACAAAACACAAGTGTACTGCTAAGCTCTCCATTAACCTAACAATAAAGCATTAAATTAATTTTCCACATTCAGATATGCTCTTCCGCTGCAGGGGGGAAATGGATCTTGTAAGAGCGATGTTTGATGCTAATGCTATTAATGGCAAGAAATCTTCATTCTATCTATAACTAATGAGAAAACACAAGTAACTGGAACAGCTGGAAACACAACAGAAGCTCCACTGGGAACGTCTTCGCAATACTGTGACAAACAGGTTCAGTCCTGAATTGCTTCTGTCTTTGGGCGTTAGACATCTAAAACCTAGAATATTCTTCCATGAATCATGTCCATAGACAACCTACTAATGTTTATTAGAAACGACTGCTGAGCTGAAATGGCATATTCACAAATTCACTATCAAAATAGGGTGACCATTTTGGTAGCATTCAGATTTGAAGTGGAATATTACAAACAATTTTGGAAAATGGCCCTTCTTCTCCCCAGTCCTCTTTCATCTTAAGGGTGGATAATTTGCTGCAATGGAGTAGGCGTTCTTACTGCAAATGCAGTATAAGTGCCATTTCTCTCTGCAGTAGCACCTCTCAGACTCTCCCACCATGCTGTTTACCATCATTAGAGCAGCATTGGATGTAGGTGGAAAACTACAGCAGCAGAAAGAACAAGATGAGCCTTTATTTACTATTTAGTACTTCTTTAAAAACATTTTTTATAAAAAAGCTATTACCAGATGAGTAATTTTAAAATTATCTGTAAGCCTGCTAAACAATCTGTAACACTTCCCCAAAGATTTCACCCTATTTTGGTTCTCCACCTATTAAAATTAGACAAAGTCCAAAACAGAACAAAACAAGTCTCAACTTTATATACCCAATCCCCCCTTCTGTGTGTGTGTTTGTATGTCTTCTCTATATATTATTAACTATACCTCATATATGCTGCTAATATAAATGGGAATTTACTTTTTTGGGAGTTAACTCATTGAGTACAATCTTGATCTTTACTTGTGCTTTTAACTGATTTTATATTATCTATCAATCAAGATTATGTTTAAAATTTCATGCCATTATTTTCTTGAGCTTTGATTTTGGTGTGTATGTAGGGGAGAGGACATAATACAGTTGGTAATGAGCACTGTTTTTAATTGAGTATTAGTTGCTGTTTCATGCTTATATGTTTTATTTAACTGTATTTTAAATAGGTTTCATTTTATGTTGTGTTTTTAGGCACCTTGCACAATGTGTAAGCCATCCCAAGTCCTTTCAGGAAGATGGTGGCAGGATGCAAGAATAAAGTTGTTGTTGTTGTTGTTGTTGTTGCAATAGATATGCAATTAATACATCTTGGTTCCAGTAACGGTACAGACATCAAAAACCCTCTCAAAACATTGTATTTCTTCCTAACCAAAACAGTTTCAACTACAATTATAAGAAAACTTCTTATCTGTGATGATGTGCACAAAATGATGCTGAATCAACACCATGGCTGTCTACTTGATGGTTGTATTGTCTTTTTTTTATTTGAGTTACAAGCAGTAGATAAAAAAGCCTTGTCTGTTTACATTCCAGCAGTGAAGAGCTGAGCAAAACTCTTTCACTAAATATAATAGCAATGCGAATAAGCTCCTTTACCAACAGCAAATGTTTACCTTCCTCCCCCACCCTTACTTTTAGTCCTGTCTCTATGACACAGTGACCTGTAAACTAAAACAGATTTATAAGAGAAATAAATCTACTTTTGCAAAGAGAGATTTAAAAAATACACATGCCAGGAAATCTTGGGCCACACAATACTATGAAGGCAAACACAGTTTACTATTAGAGTAAATGCTCTGTGAGCACAAAAGCCCCTTCCACTCAGTGTTAGTAAAAAAACGTTAGGCAGAAAACTGAAGCTTTTCCTATTCTGAGCCTCTCAGGAGCTGAAGGAAACTCTGTTAGGTAGACCAATAGTCTGGCTCAATGAAAGTCGACTTCAAATGTAGGGAAATCTGCCATTCTAACAATATTTAACTTTTTCCTGGGTTGTTGTAGGTTTTTTCGGGCTATATGGCCATGGTCTAGAGCAGGGGTAGGGAACCTTTGGACCTCCAGCTGTGGTGGACTTCAACTCCCACAATTCCTTGAGGCTCGGCATTCGCCCCAAAGGCTTACCTTGGCCCAATGCCGAGCCTCAAGGAATTGTGGGAGTTGAAGTCCACCACAGCTGGAGGGCCAAAGGTTCCCTACCCCTGGTCTAGAGGCATTCTCTCCTGACGTTGCGCCTGCTGAGCAGTTTAAAGGCTCCACCCTAAACTACAAGCCCCAGAATTCTGCAGGAGGAAAGATCTGGATGTAAAATGGATCCATGCTCTAGTGTTATGAGGTCCCTCGTAAAGCTCAGGCATGAACATATGTGGTGATGCAATATGCAGGAATTAACCCAATATTTGGGGTTCATGGTTGTCATGTGTTAGACAATTTGGACTTTCCTAGTTCTGTTTTGCACAGATGAAAATAAGTTAGCTTTAAATGTAAGGGGAAGAGGTTTTGTTTGTTTTTATTTGTTTTAAACAGAATTCTTGGTATGTTTCCCTCCTCCTAAAAGGTTTGAACATTGACTGTCCAAACCACAAAGCCAAACTCATGCTGGCAAAGAGTCCTTCAAAGAAGGTCACAAAAATGATGCAATTGCAACCAAGAAATCACAAAATAACAACTTTTTAAATCCTACATAATTCATCAAAACAGTACTCATTTCTTATTTGGAATAGCTGATAGAAGAAGTGTTTTAATTAATTTATGGGAAATGAAGAACTGGCATGTAAAACTGTTCTATGGAAGCAGATGAAATAGAAAAGCACCGTTGTGGACAAACCCCTGCCGAACTTTCCAGGTGAAGCAGGAGTCTGACTGAAGAGCCTGAATTTGGGCCAGAGATCTGTAGTGCTTTGTATGAGAAGCTGAGAAGATGGATGGCAAGCAATAAATAAATAGACAAACATCTGCCAGTAAAAATTATGTAAGAATTATGTCATGTCTGTTTTAAACTTGGCACTAACATGAAAAGTAGACTGTCACGTTGTATTTAATGGTGTTTGACAGGCTATTGTTTTAACTTCTGTTGTTCTTTTCTGCTTTGTTCATTGGGCACAGATAAGCTCCATAATGCAGCAGACACTTATGTTTACAAAATACCTGGACTTAGTCATGCGGTCAGATTGGGAGCAACAGTTTTTAAATCATTTTAGGTTCTTGTTACCAGCTTTCTGAGAGAGTAAGTGCAAATCACCACAAAAGAGAGGACATAAATACACACTGCAGCTTATATGTGCCCAATGAACAAAGCAGAAAAGAACAACAGAAGTTAAAACAATAGCCTGTCAAACACCATTAAATACAATGGTGTATATAATACACACTGGGGTGTACCTTCCAGCTATCCCTTTAATTAACTGAGGTTAGAGGTGCAAGACCCCCATGAAAGTTGAAAAACTGTTAATAAAAGAAACACCTTTTAAAAACCAGAGACAATAACTCTGTAGGAATCTTCAAGCCCTCCAGCGCAACTCTATGGTCAACATTCAACAGACTTAATCCGGAGGAGCAATAAATGCCTTCAGCCATCTTCCTTCTAGGACACTCTTGACTCTCCAGCACAACTCTATAGCTAACTTTCAATGACCACTTACCAAAGCAAACACATGAAAAGCATGATCTGTAGTTGACAAATACATATCTGTGACAAACAGATATTTAGAAAAGGCAGATCCCTGGTTGTTCTGATTGCAATTTAAATTGTGCAAAACACAGATAGGCCTACCTGTCAGCATCACCCAGACCCAGTGAGGTATTGCGTTGCAGAGTTTCCCGTACAGCAGCCATCCCATCAGGAAGTCTGTTTAACCTTCGAGTATAAAGACCCAATCCACCATCAGTCATATACCTAAGAAATAGAAGTGGAGGAAGTTAAATACTGAAAACTTACCAAAACAATACACAGAGTACTGGATATATGTGCTTTTGGATACCTAAATGTTAGCATTCATTAAAACACTCAATATTAAACAACCAATATGCATTACAGGGAAGTTCTTGGCACAAACAAAACTATGAAAATATAGCAACCAATTTTTGACCAGTGAAATTTTCCTCCCCCTCATGATATTTTGCTCTGTGTCACAGATTTGACATTATCTTCATATTTTAAAAGGATAGGCATAGGTTTCCATAGCATGGACTGGCTAAGCATTTGCTGAAAATCTGTTCTCATCAAGTATTTTATTACATGCATGCTATGCTTGCAAAAACTGTATATTTTTGTGCCATTCCTAATTCTGAGAAGAATGGGAATAGTCAATGCTTGTTGGCCTAATTTAGACTCCAAAGCAACTTGGTGAGAATGATCGTCCTTCCAAGTTTGGTGTGTAAACATTATTCAGTATGCAATGTCACAGCCACAGCTGTTTGGAGAAGCAATGGGATGCCTTGTGTAGATATTTCATTGGCTCGTTAGCCCATATGCCAGTCAGGAAGTCAAATAAGTACTGTCAATATGCCATTTGAGAGGATCTTCTGGAAGGAGCATTCATTCCTTAACCAAGTAACATCAAATCAATACACTCATTTTCCTTGAGGACATGAACTCCACAAGTATGAAATCCATATTATTAGGCAGCATAAACAGAAATTCAAACGGTTTTCTAGCTACTTGACTAAACTCAAGTTGTCTGCCTGAGTCACTCAAAAACTGTAGAATCCAACATCAAAATTCAGATTCAGTGACAAGCATATCCATAGTCAGTCTTCTGTTAGATTTTTCTCTGTGTCCAGGATTTTTTGGTTTCACTCAGAAATGTGCTGCTATTGGTTAGCACAAAAAAACCTGTAAGACCTAAATTATGTGTGCGCTTACCAGTAAGACACATAATTTTACCTTCTTTCTCTTATCATTCTTTGAGAATTATGCCAAACTGCTGTCTACAGAAAAGAGATTAAACTGTGGTTCTTTGAAAAACTGTCTCTGAGAATAATTTTCTCACTGAAAACTTCTAATTCTTTACTAGATCTAACAAGTCTGAGTGGTTTGGTTTTCAGTGGCTTTCTGGGGACTACATTTTATCTAGGCTAGAAATAACTTACTGCTGTATTCTGGAAGCCAAAGTAATACAAAAATAATTGTTTATCATATTTGGTAAATAACAGTTATTTCCCGTAGATAGCTATGGATTGCTTTGTGATTCTTCTAGAATCATGGTATTGTTTGCCAGGAAATCTATAATTGTCCTTAATTTAGACACATACTGCTTGTTCTTGCTGTTCCTTTGGCCATGGAAAATGGACAAGCTCTCTTCGTGGTATTCAACATGAACAGATTCCTTGTCATACAGTTCCAAGATCAGATCAGGATTTGCTGCACCCAACCCCCTTTCCCATGATACTTCCTACCATTCTTTGGCAGCCTGAAAGCTTAATAAATGAATTGAATGAATGAAAACAAAACAAAAAATCACAACATCAAAGATAAGAGGTGATGCAGTGATAGAAATGAAGGATGTTCGGCCAGAAACTCCTCACTGTCCAGAGACTGGGGAGTATATGAGCCAGAGTCTCCTGTAGTTTGGGAGGAGGCTGGTGTACTAATTAAGCATTCCTTTCCTTGGTGAATTATTTGCAATCAGTTAAGCTTGGAATCCCTTTTTGAATAAGTACTACCACCTTTCAGCAGAGTGTAGCATATGATCTTTGAGCATGCCATATCTCTGGGAAAGATCTTATGACTCTGTATGGTATGGGAATTTATCTGAATGTATGTGCATATGTAAAGATGAGCACATGCCACTATCTTTGGCTTGTCTAGTTCTATATGGAACAAGAGACCACAACTTCAGCTCACTTGTACACAACCCACAAGTGTTGGTTCCATCAGTGAAACCACTTTGTAAATAACTTTGTTTCTCTTAAACATTAAATGTCATTCTTAATACCATCTGTCATTTTTAAAATTGATGCATTCCCGTAGAGAAACGAGATTGCACAAGAATGGAAAAGAATAGGAGAGAAACAGCTGCAAATTTTAAGTAATTGTAGAACAAGCAGAAAGGAGAAGCTTTCTGAAGTTGAACTGGACTAAGAAAAAGGTTCTCCATCCTTAAATAATCTGTACTCTAATTTGATTTATAGAAGGATGACTGACACACTGTTCTTTACATACTCATAAAAAAACACCTGCCAGGCAGGTCACAATATATGAAGCAGAAAACTAAATTTCAGAAAGAGGCACTTGGTCCAGGTGAATCCACAGCTGATGCAAAATTTCATTTCAGCACTTCTGATTCCATGCATGATATTCTGTTCATGGGATCACTCTAAAAAATTCCAGTCACATATTCTTCTCTATCTTTGTATGTCATGTTTAGCTACACCGTTTGCTAAGACTAACACCTTCTTGCACCATTGGCTTGTATGTTAGACAGGATACAGAAAAACCATGTTCAAACCTTCATGCCATTATGAAGTTCACCAGATGACTTTGGTGAAGTCATAATCTCACATATTTGTACTATCTCATTACAGAAAAATTTGTTTCTAACATAATTAAGGCATGTGTCACAATGAATTTAGGATTATAATAATGACTAGCAAATGAGGCAGTGGGAAATGTGAGTTTATGTGTATGAAAGAGGGAGGAGAGTATTCACTGTTGTGATCCTCCTAGAACATCAAAGATTATAGCATTCCCCACCAACAGCTAGAGTTGATGGGCACTGTTGTCCAGCTACATCTCGAAAGTCACAAATTGTTCACCACTACTAGGAATGAATAAATATATAACATGCATATAATGTTCTATACAGACTATTAGAAAAAGATGAAGGTTTGATTGACTACAGGAACTGTGGGTGATTAATATGGATTTCTTTCCTGAAACAGAACTTGCCAGTGGGATTCTGCAAACAGTTGGATATTTAAATGGTGACAGAAGATGTTGACAGCAAAAGGTTAAAAAGAAAGAAAAAGCCTAAGAAAATTAGAACAGGATCACTTCCTTCTATCTCCCTTTATAGGTATAGATAGGTAGATAGTGATATGAAGTGTCCACACAGAGTGGACACATGCACAGGTCGATGAATTTACTGTAAACCTCTTTGGTCATTTACAGGAAAAAAAATAACAAGGTTCCAACCTATCATAAATTGATGAAGAGCAATTTGTCTCGTATTTTGATTATTTGTTCATGTGGCTGATTATGAATATGAACAACTTCAACAATATGAAACTGTTATTGATCAAATAAAATGACTACTGTGGTCACATGACTGATTAACAGAGGCTGGATGGCCATCTGTCGGGGGTACTCTTTCCTTGTGCTTTTCCTTCATGGTAGGGGATTGGACTGGATGACCCTAGTGGTCTCTTCCAATTCTATGATTCTATTATTCTAACCCAGAAATGATACTTTTTAAAACAATTATGACTTGAACAGACTTAATTCCTATGTTATTATCCTAAAGTTTGAAGTTTTTCACAACAACAATTACGCTGTTAAACATTTGGCACATGGGTTAATGAACAAGGGAAACAGCAACAGATTTTATATTCAGAGTTCTAAAGCACTACTTGAGAATTATAGGGTTTTGTTTTGAAACAGCTAAAATATTGGCATTTAGTGAATTTTTCACCAGTATGCACACATATTAGCAGCATATTAAGTTCCATTACATAGATGCAGTACAATAAATCTACTTGTAGTGCATGGGGATGAACAGACTATAAATTGCCATATAAAAGAAACAGCTAATTCTGAAGAGTTTTCCTCTTGGTATAAAAGAAAACTCCACAAAGAATCTCAAAAAAATCCCCAACAATCCTGTGGCTAATTCTACAAAGCTTTAAAATAACATGCTATCAGGTCTTCAGAGTCAAACATGGACAAATGTTTTTATTGTGAGTACTAGTTCTAAAGCATTGATGCAACTCTTTTAGCTAACAATCAATTTAACAAAAACACTTTAAACATTGGAGTTTCCACACACACTCCCAACTGCACAATAAGGTGAGAATGCCCATTATTTCCCCTAAAACTTGTACTGCCCTTCCTCTCTTCTGCTTTGTAATAACCACCCAATCCAAATGTGCAATCAAACAGAGAAAAAAGAAAACCATGAAGTTGATACCTTTGATAAATGTTCAGTCAAACATACTTTACTGAGCCTTGAATGGAAGAGCAACGTCCTTTCAGTCCTTCCGTTGCACTTCTGAAAACAGTGGCTAAATAATTTGAAGTCTGAATGTGTCCTTCAGTTTCGCAAAGTTCATGGCCATTCAGTGACTTTTCTTCTTTGTAGTCCAGCTATCTCATTCCACAACTGATCTGAACACAGTTACTCCTAAATCAGTAACCTTGCTAGATCTAAAATCATTCTTATCCCATGGATGCACTAAAGCCCATCTTTTCCCCCCAGTCACTTGTGTGACACTGTAAGCTGAAACAGATAAAACCTTTGATGCCCGACTCAATTATTAAACTTTGCATGCGACAGGAAGGAAAGGGGGAAAAACGTTGTGGATGTAAGTTAGCTTTGTCAGTCTCTGCTGGATTCAAGAACAATAGACAATTGCCCCTCTGGGATTTCACAAAGAGGTTGCTAAGCTAGTTAAAACCAGGGACAGGGCTATTCTCGGTTTTACTTTGTCCTTGGGGACAAGACACAATACTCTTCTCTTCACTGCATAAATAAGGAGCCTAGTTTCAATGGCAATAATAGAAGGTCGCTTGACTCACGCTCTTCATTCATTGAAACACTTGTTTGTGAGGAGTTTACAGAAATCAGTTTTAACATGGAAGAAGTAAGTGATGCTGTTATGTAAGAAATCAGGTTATATAAATACAAAAACATTTCAAGACATTTCATTTAATGGGTGAATGAACTGCAGGGGATTTAT